CACTTAAGTTATTCTTTGTTATCTTTGATCTATAATAAATTCTGCTGTAGGTAAGTGAAACTGCGAATAAAAATCTGAAAATAGGACCTATATATAGTTGATGTATTTGTTTAAACCAGTTAAGCACCTATAAAACAGGTAACTATACCTGTCTCATAGGCTTTGGGTCAGGGGGGAGGAAGTGGTTAATATTTTGTTAACATCAAGATATTGTTGCCCGGTCAGTGTGGCTCAGTAGTTGAGCATTGACCTATGAACCAGAAGGCCATGGTTTGATTCCTGGTCAGGGCACAAGCCCGTGTTGCGGGCTCAATCCCCAGTAAGGGGCATGCAAGAGGCAGCCAATTAATGATTCACTCTCATCATTGATGTTTCAATCGATCTCTCCCTCTCCTTTCCTCTCTGAAATCAATAAAAATATATATATATTTTAAAAAGATATTGTTAACCTCTTACACTAAAATTAGTAGAGAAAATCAGTGTGCTCAGAGCAAGGCCTCTTAACTTTTCTCTGTGGACCTCTTTGGCAGACTGTTTTATTATTTTTTTAATGTCTAAAAGAATAATTCAAAACCATCACATTATAAGTGAGAAAGTAAAAATTGGCTTGGACGGTAAAAATCTGCCCTGCAATTCATAGCCAGGAATAAAAGGCAGATAGAAACCAGTTGCAAAATTAGCAGAAAACAGTATTTCTTCAAAGCATAGTAACACAGTAGAGTTGTAAAGTGTCAAAGTCATAAGGACCCTTGGTTTCAATGGTTTATCTTGGTTTGTTTGTTAATCCTCTTCTGAGGATATTTTTTCATTGAATTGTACAGAGAGTGGAAGGGAGAGGGAGAGACAGAAATGCCCTGACTGGGGCAGGGGATCGAGCCTATAACTAAGGTGCATGCCCTTGTGCCCTTGACTAGAATTGAACCCGGGACCTTTCAGTCCATGGGCCAATGTTCTATCCACTGAGCCAAACCTGCTAGGGCCCTTAGTTTCAATGGGCCCTCAAGGTTTAACAGCCACGGAGCAGAGAGAAGTAACCAGCACAGGGAGGGATTAGGCAACAATATTCTACAACCATCTTTATCCTGGGGTGCTGGGGTCATCACCAAGAGGAACAGAAGCAGAACCAGACCAGAGCAGATGACAGCTAGTAAGATGCTAAGTTAGGGCCAATATGAGAAACCCCTTTCTCACCGTTAGAGCTGTAGACCCAAAATAGGAAATCCCATCACCAATCCAGGTCAGCCTGAAGTTTACTTTTGTAGTTCTGGAAAGTCCTGAGCAGGACTGGAAGTTCCACTGACTGTGACCGTCTAGTGCAGTGGTCAGCAAACTCATTAGTCAACAGAGCCAAATATCAACAGTGCAACAATTGAAATTTCTTTTGAGAGCCAAATTTTTTAAACTTAAACTATATAGGCAGGTACATTGTTATTAACTTAATTAGGGTACTCCTAAGCTGGCCTTTGCTAGAAATGTCCTCAACCTGAGGGGTCGACCTCAGCAAACGTACCCCCACTTCTTCTAATGCCACTTCTTCAAAATAGACTCGCCCAGGCCGAAAACCGACTTCTGTGCTTGGGCCACGAAGTTTCAATCACACTGTACGTGCACGCCCGCAAGTGGTATTTTGTGGAAGAGCCACACTCAAGGGGCCCAAGAGCCACATGTGGCTCTTGAGCAGCGGTTTGCCAACCACTGGTCTAGTGTATGGTCCCATTATTTATACAATATTGCGTTGAAGAACTGTTTCTTTTAATTAGTCTTAAGCCGTCCTCAAGTGCTAGTCCGCAGGAAATCCTGCAGGTGCCCTACAAATCTAACATCACATTTCAGCTTTCACAGCAAGGATTTGTTCCCTCTCATCTTGGGTAGGTCTTTAGACTTGACTTTGAACTAGGCTTATATGTGGAGGAGGGCTAGGATTGGAGCCACCTAAATGCTTAGATAAGCAGGTGTTAAAATGGGGCCCTGCCTGAACCTCAACAGAACTCCCCAACCTGGTGCAGCAAGTGGGCAAAGGTGTTTGGTGGGGGCAGGAAGGGAAGCAGAACCACTTCCCATCAGCCCTCAGAAGGCCTGGCAGGCCAGGAGAAGCCAGTGATGGTCTCACCTAGGTGGTCAACTCTGGCCATTGTAGTCACCTCGCTTATTATATACTTACAAGCATTGTGATGGCTCAGTCATGTGAGTTGATTTGGGTTGTTTTCCTGAGCAGGATGCAAGGGTGATTTCTTTCTAGGTTTCTTGTCCAGATGGGTTGGAAGCCTGAAGCCATGGGCAAAAGGTGATAGATGAAGAGTGGAAATTTATTGGGAGCAAATACAGACTCCCACATAAGGAGGGGGTCCCAGGGGTAGACCACTAAACTCTTTTTTGTAAAGGTTTATAAAGGTTGTAGTTCTTTGTCTCTTGATACTTCCCTTCTAATTGGTCACTCCTTGGGCAGAATATCACCTTCAAAGCCCAAACCCCACCTGGTGCCCCTGTCTTTCTCTCCGCCTTATCTTGTAACATTTCTCTATCGCCTGTGAAAATCTGTTTTCCTCTTTCTCCCATATCGGCTGGCATTTCTCTATCCTCTGTGAAAGTTTGTTCCCCTTTTTCCCCATATGCTGTGGCTTTTCCTTATCTTCTGTGAATGGATGTCTTCCTCTCCCCTTATCCTGTGGCACTTTTTTTTTTAACTCTCTCTGTGAATGTATGCCTTCTGGCAGCTCCAAGCCCTCACCTATGCCTTCCTCTCCCATGGGCCCTCTTTATTCCTAAAACTCCCGAAACCTGCCTATTTTGTCCCTAAAACTCCTTTCGGAGTGAAGTGAGGGTATTGGAAAGCTCTGGCCTAACAGCTCAGCAGGCTGCTGATCTCTTGTAAAACAAGTGACTATAAGGGACGCCTTTAATGTTCTATTTATAGACATAACCCAACATCTGTGTGTAACAGCATAGTAAGTCATAAAGCAGGGCAGCTGATCTGTAGTTTTCTTGAGGTGGCTGAAGTGTCAAAGAAAAGAGGATAATATAGAATCTTCTTCCCTACTGAAGTGGTAGAGCCAAACAAGGAAGAACGTGGGGGGGGGGGGGGGGGGGGGGGGAATGAGTGAGTAGATTAGAGTTTATGTTGAAGGCTTCGAGAATGGCACCTGGTGTTAGACCCATGGGGTCAGATCGGACCTGGGTTCAATAACCTCAGTACTTGAGTTCTGGCTAGGAAAGCATTCAGAGCCAAGACTCAAACTATAAGAGAACGTTTATTTGGCAAATCACAAAGGTAGAAAAAGTAATTTCTAGAAGAAATGGTCTCAGGAAACAAGTTACAGAGGCAAAAAACAACAACAACAAAAAACCAACCCTTGGAGCTTAGGAGAAGAGGGTAAAGGTAATGCACCCCTGGGAAGGAGAGGGGGCAGGGAAAGACACCAGCCTGCTCCTGAGCGGGGCGACCATGCTGGGTCCGCTGTCCGAAGGGCTTTTAAGGGTGATTTTAGGAGAGATCCCAGGGGATGACCCAACAGAATATTCATCAGCTTGCCAGGTGTGCCCTGATTGGTTGGCACCAGGTCTTAGTCAATGCAGCTGGCCCTGTGGCCAGCTGTGAAGTTACTTGTCGGGTTTTGCTGCTTTTCTGAGCCCGGAGCTGAAACACAACTGAGGCCTAAATGTATTGGATGAGGGTCAGAACCTCACTGTTCCTGGGGCTTCGTGCTTAAAGGCTGTCCTCAGCCCCCTTGTGCCTCTCTAAAGGGGCAAATCAGCATGACTAGCGACATGCCAGGGGAGGAAAAGTCACGCTGGGGGGAGACCCTTGTTCTTAGAATGCTCCCTTTACCAGGTACCCATGCTCCACCCTGGTGACCTGTAACTGGCCCGTCCTCCTTGCTCTGCTCATGTCTGTCTGTCTCCCACACCTGGAGCAGCAGCCCCTGCTGTATTTGTTAGTGTTGGCCATTGTAACACCGATCTCATGATTGCCTTCCCATTGCATCCAACATCCCAAAGACTCTCCTTCACTCAAATGTTCGTTGTCACCTACTCTGGGCCTGTGGGACAGGGCAGAAAGGAGCCCAAAAAGGGGGGGAAGGGGGCAGTCAGAAGAAGCTCCAAAGGAAAGGTGATCTTTAAACCAAGAAGTTAGGTCAGAAGACCCAACACATCCAGTCCCTTCCCCCAACCCTGCCCCCCGCCCCCCCATCCCACCCCGCACCCAGCACCCAGTGGGTTCAGAAAGAATAGAGGCCAAGACCTGATGGAGCTTCAGGACACCCGGGAGGAAGGGAACTGGGCCGAGAGAGTCCCGCCCCCAAGCTCAGGAAGGCTTCCTGCGCCGGGCGAACGAGTCTCGGGCCAGGGCCAGGGCAGAGGGCAGAGGGCAGAACGCGCAGACTGGCGACTGAGTCACGAGAGCCCACGGGGCGGCGGTGTGGCTCCGCGCATGCTCAGCTCACGGCCCTCCGCAGTCGCCGGGCTCCGGAGGCGCCGGAAACACCGGGAGCCGTCGCATGGCGCAGACAGGGGGCACCGGCCTGGGGACCCGGGGGCTGCGGCGCGCGGGCGCGGCCCTGGGGCGCGCGCCTTGGCTCTGGGCTCTGGCGCTGCTCGGGCTGGCGGCAGCCGCGGGCGCGCCCTCCAGGCGCCAGTGGCCTGTGCCCTACAGGTGAGCGCGCGGGGCGGCGGGCGCGCGCGGGGCGGCGGGCGCGCGCGGGGCGGCGGGCGCGCGCGGGGCGGCGGGCGCGCGCGGGGCGGCGGGCGCGCGCGGGGCGGCGGGCGCGCGCGGGGGGCGTGGCGTCCGGGTCCCGGGGCGGTGGGCAAACCCCGGCGCGGTGTGGAAGGAAGTTGGGAGCGCAGGAGTGGCTCCTGCCTGTTGCGTGCCGCCCTGGGGCCTCTCTCTTAGGGACTCTTGGCGTCAGTGAGGAGGGGACAGACCCAGGGCTGACCTGAATGCTGGAAGAAAAGGGAAGTAAAGCTATTTTATCGCGTCACTTTTAGACTCTTTGAACAGTGGGGACTTTTAACTTCACATTTATTATGTTACGCCATCATTAGCTACCGTGAGTGCATAACCTTTGGCAGACTTTACAGCAGCATCCCCTGGGCTCGGTTCGCGGGGACTTCCCGTTTTTAGCACTGAAAGTCCGATGTCCCGGGGAGTCCCAGGCGGGCGGGTGACACTTCCTTCGCCCGCCGTCTTAAGCCCGGAGGTAGGACGCTGGTCGCAAGTCAAGCGCGGGGGCTGCAAAACCTTGAGGCAGAATCCAGCCTTTGACCTAGAAGAGTATTTACTTGGCCCGATACTGTCAGGTGGCTAAACAAAGAGAAAGAAAACATGCTGTCACATGGGGCTCGCGAAAGGCCAGCAGCTTTGAAAACGCATAAAAACTAGCCCAGCCGGTGAGGCTCAGCCCAGCCGGTGAGCATGGCCATCAGGGTTCCATTCAGGTCAGGGCGCAGGCGGGGCTCATCCCCAGTGTGGGGGTGCAGGAGGCAGCCAGTCAGTGATTCTCATCATTGGTGTTTCAATCTCTCTCTTCCTCTCCCTCCCTCTCTGAAATCAATAAAAAAAGTAAAATCATACTATATATAGAAAGAAAACACAACTATTTTAGATGACAAAATAGTGAGTTGGGAGTGAGTTTCGGATTCCACCTGCCGCTGGCCAGATCCGGCACCATCATGACTAGCTGTGTAGATCTTGGCAAAGTTGTTGAGTACCTCTGCGCCCACATGTCCTCCGTCAGAAAGTGGGGATAGTGGTAGCACTACCTTAGTTTTGTTGGGAGGATTAAACCTAGTAAATGCCAACTGTTGTCAAACCTGGATATTAGTGGATTTTGCTCACGGAGTGTTTTTCACCAGTTCTTGTTTTGCTTGCTGTACATGAAAAGAGAAGTTTGGGGTTGATGCTGGTGCTCTGGGAAATGTTAATAAAATGTTCATAGGAAGTAAAAATTAAATATTCAATAAAACAAGGAGGAAAGTGTAAATGCGAAACTACTTGATTTAAGGGCAGGGTATTGAGTATGACTTCTTATGTTAAACAGTTTCAAATATTAAGTATATGTTGCTATCTAATAACCTCACCTGTATACAAGAAAATTTATTAAGTGTGGACTTAAATTATGCTTTAGAAATTACCTTAGACGTAAAATAGGTTTTGCAGTGGGCAGGTGAGACATACATAATTAAACGTTTGTTTAAACCAGGTAAGCACCTATCAAACAGGTGAGTATACCTGAATCTGGGCAATGTTCCTGAGGGTTGTTACTTTTTTTGGCTAACATCTAGATTTCAATTAAAATAAGAATTTTTGTTGATGTGCTAGGATTGTAAAACAGCAGCTCTAGCTGGAACCTCAGGGATCTAGGCTTCTTAGAGCACAGATATAGGTAGCTTCTTTCCCTTTCACCTTTTCTCCCCGTGTCTAATATGGGAGGTGACCAGTAAACATTGAGCTGAATTCAGCTGTAGTCCTATTGCCAAGGCCTTCTCAGGCCACTTTCTTTTCTTGTTGCATTATTTAAGTAACCTCCTAAAACTGACCTCTCAGCCTTAATTTGGCCTCTCTACCTTCTTCTAATTTATAAAATAAGGTTTATTTTACAGCAAAATCAGTCATATCAGATCTGCTACTTAAAATCCTTTATGCTGACTCCTCGACTCTGCCCTCCCGGTGGTAGGACTCAGGGGGTTCGGCTGCCTCCCTCTCCTCTCACCACTCCTGCCTGGAAGCCTAAAGGCCGGTCTTAATTACCTACCAGAGACTCTCCCAGTGTGTTGTGCTTATAATACTTAGTGTTTTCTCTCCCTTTCTGTCCTAATCTTCAAAAGTAGCTTAAAAACCTAGGCCACATCTTCATCTCTCTCTTTGACCTCCTCACGCCCACCTATCCCATACAGGTGGAAATGATTTCTTCCTCTTTTGTGTCCATAGGACTTTGTGTATTTCTTTGGTCTAGACAGCCGTGGGCAAATGAGGGCCAGCGGGCGGATTCGGCCCGTTTGAAATGAATAAAACTACCCTTTTACGTAATGATGTTTACTTTGAATTTATATTAGTTCACACAAACACTCCATGCTTTTGTTCCGGCCCTCCGGTCCAGTTTAAGAACCCATTGTGGCCCTCGAGTCAAAAAGTTTGCCCACCCCTGGCCAGCACCTACTTCATTGTTTAATGTCTTCCCAGCCCAGACCCAAAGCGCCTGGAGGAAGGGAATGACATTATAATTTCTATTTCCCTCCTTCCTAGTATAGTGTCCTACACATAGTAAGTCCTCAATAAATACTGGTTTAAGGAATATTAGTGAATTTTTAAGAAAATAGTAAACATATTCTATTTAATCATAATTATCTTTGAATAATCTTAGCACTTAGCATATGGATTGTTTGGGAAATTAAGTATCATTTGAAAACTATTCCTTTATTTAGTAAACATTTGTCTACTAAATAAGATCTAGAGCTATAACTTTAAGGTATGGTCCCCATCTTCAAAATTCTCCCAGTGGGAGCAAGAAACAGGGAAGCATGCTATTATCCACGTGTTTTAAATGTATCTTTTGCTGTAAAAGAAATCATTGGAGTTTGTTCACAGGATAAATAAAATGTATATTTATATGCTATGGGCTTAGCTTTAAATGTTTTCTCTAAAAATGTTATTGACAGTGAAGTTAAAATTTGGGTTTTAAAATGTGCAAGAAGAAGCATCCTAAGTTGATGGTTTCTTTTTCTTTATTAGACGCTTTTCCTTCCGTCCGGCACCAGATCCTTACTGTCAAGCTAAATACACTTTCTGTCCAACTGGCTCCCCTACCCCAGTTATGAAGGGTGATGATGTCATTGAAGTCTTTCGGTTACAAGCCCCAGTATGGGAATTTAAATATGGAGACCTCCTGGGACACTTGGTAAGGATGTATCTTGATCTTACAAGTTTAGTTAATTAAATTATGTCATTATTAAGTGGATTTGAGGAAATAGTTTAGATTATGTTTATTGGTTTTGCTCTGCGTGTATTTAGAATGAGTAGTCAAGCCCGGCCAGCGTGGCTCAGGGGTTGGGCATCGACCTATGAACCAGGAGGTCAGGGTTTGATTCCCGGTCAGGGCACATGCCCAGGTTGCGGGCTTGATCCCCAGTAGGGGGTGTGCAGGAGGCAGCCAATCAAATTCTCTCATCAATGATGTTTCTATCTTTCCCTCTCCCTTCCTCTCTGAAATCAATAAAATATTTTTTAAAAAATGAATAATCAAAAAAAACCCAACATTATCAGGTTTCGTGATCCTGACAATAGTAAATGCAGTTGCTCTCATTCCTTTTAATATTCTGAATCCAAACCCAATTCCTGTACTCAGCTCCTGGAAAAGTAGGAAGGGAGGAGGCCCAGAGGAAAGGGCAAAGCAGTCAGGAAACACTTCTTCATTTTCAGGTCCTGTTGAATGTACTTTTCCTGGGTTAGTCCACCATTTGAGTGTCTCACCCCCTGTGAGGTACATAGAGTTCCTTCCTGAGACTGTGGCATGGGGGTCTCTCACACTCATTCTAAGATATAAGGAAATTAGGAACAGTCCACATAGCATACGTTTTCCTGATCTGAGGTGAGCTGCAGTGGCAATCAGAGTGGATGAGGGTCTGAAATTTGAGGAGCTATAAAGTGGACCGAGAGGCATCATGGAAGAAGGAACAGCTGAACAGTTGTTCTGCTTGACCTGCATTTGTGGTATATCTATCACATTTTCTCCCTCTGGTTCCTGGACCAGTGGTTGCTTCACAGATACTTTTATGCCTGTATGATCTTTACACAGAAAATTATGCACGATGCCATTGGATTCAAGAGTACTTTAACTGGCAAGAACTACACAATGGAATGGTATGAACTTTTCCAACTTGGAAACTGCACATTTCCCCATCTCCGACCTGAAATGAATGCCCCATTCTGGTGTAATCAAGGAGCTGCCTGCTTTTTTGAAGGAATTGATGATGGTCACTGGAAGGAGAATGGGACGTTAGTTCAAGTAGCAACCATATCAGGTAAGTTAAAAAAAATACGGCATTATTTGATGATTGCATCAATATCTAAATGATAGAAATTTTTTTCATTGAGGCATTTCAGTAATGTCTTACTTTATAGGGGTCAATTTATAAAATGTACTTCTGGAACCACCAACCTTTGACCCAAACTGTTAATCATGCAAAACTTCAACTGTAAGTGATGAGTAGCTTATCTCTTTTATTCCTATGGTAAAAATAAATGACATGATAAAACACTTTACACAATTTAATTGGACTTCTTAAATAATAGAGGGAAATACATAAAATGCCTGAAAAAAATAATTCATTGAAGGACCTGTTAACTGAATCTGGGAAGAGGCTTTTAGTGATGATACATTAAAATAATAATAGCCACCACTCATGTTCTGAGTACTTTACATATATCACAGCATTTATAATCACAGCAGCCCCCTGAGATAGTTGCTATTATTTTTCCCATTTTACAGATAGGGAAACTGAGGCACAATGAGCTAAAAGTCCCACAACTAAGGAAGTGGGACTGCAAACTTGGCAGTCAAGCCTTATTAACTCTTTTCTTAACTACTTTGTACATTGCCTCCTAAAACATATGATCTCACATATTTGAGGCCTCTTGAGCAATTTAAATATTTTATCTCTGAGATTTTCTGTTCTCTTGCATGTGCCAGTATTTGAAAGTTGCTAAAACAGTTGGAATTTTACTGTGTGCGTGTTGCATTTAGTTAGTGATAAAGAAAGGAATTCAGCAGAACTTGTATCAGAAACTGGTCACATTTTATCTTATTGACTCATTGCTTGTGTATAGAATGAGGATGAGCCTTTTAGAGGTAGGGAGCTTGCCCATATAATTTATAGGACTCTACATTATAAATTGTTGTTCTTCACAAAAGTGAAAATAACAAAACCACTGTTTGTTATAAGAACTATTCAATGAACCACAGGACTTGAGGAAATTACCATGCTTTCCACTTGTACAGCTCTTTACAGAGCATATTGGATTGTGTTCAGTGGGGAAGATAAGGTACTTTTTTTTACAAATAAGGAATTAAAGTTCAGCCAGGTGGCATGACCTACCTGTCTTTTAAGGTCACATAGGTTAATGTAGAACCAGGAATAGAATTGGTGTCTCTTACATGTCATCTGGGGATATTTTAACTATATGCTGTGCTGTTTTCTAATCTTTCTTTCAACTATATACCATGCCGTTTTCTACTTTCTAATTGCTACAAACCATTCCAATAATATAAAAGTTCATTTTTTTTAAAATAGTGTTCGGTATAATAAATAGCTACTCTTTCTTTCATTCTAGGCCAGTTCACATCTCTCCTTTCTCATTTCCTCCCACCTCATTATCTGAAAATTCTTCCTTCTGTCATAAACATACTGTCATATGAACAAGAGATCACTATTTCCTGGAATATATTTTGTAATATGCCAGTACTTAAATTTTTTAAGTTATCCATCTGCTCTGCGATTAATCATATCCATTAGCCTTTTCTCATGTTACAAAACAGTGTTTCAAAGCATTCTTATCTTTTAATCACAGGACTGGCTTTTCCAAGTTGAAGAATGCTAAGAACAGTCTCCCCAGTTTTAAGAAAACAGGTTTAATTCTATAAAATTTTAATTCTATAAAATCGGCCCTGACTGGTTTGGCTCAGTGGATAGAGCGTCGGCCTGCAGACTGAAGGGTCCCAGGTTCGATTCCGGTCAAGGGCACCAAGAAATTGATAAAATAGCCACTCTATTTTATAGCATGAAGTACTGATTTTACAGATTCCAGTTGGAGTAACCTAAGAATCATCTATAGTGACAAAGTGAAATGTTGGGGCCAGGCTCTTTTAGGCTTTACAAATGCCCAGATGTAAACATGCAGAGTACAGTGCTTTGTTACCATTTAGAGCAGTGGTTCTCAACCTTCCTAATGCCGCGACCCTTTAATACAGTTCCTCATGTTGTGGTGACCCCCAACCACAAAATTATTTTCGTTGCTACTTCATAACTGTAATTTTGCTACTGTTATGAATCATAATGTAAATATCTGATATGCAGGATGTATTTTCATTGTTACAAATTGAACATAATTAAAGCATAGTGATTAATCACAAAAACAGTATGTAATGGTATATGTGTTTTCCGATGGTCTTAGGCGACCCCTGTGAAAGGGTCGTTCGACCCCCAAAGGGGTCGCGACCCACAGGTTGAGAACCGCTGATTTAGAGGCTCCTGTGCTCTGGTACAAGGTGGTAGGAGGGACTGTTAGCCATCCAGGAGTCCATATAGTCCATGAACTTGGCCAAAAACATTTCCAGTTTTAGTTGATTTACTGGAAGAATGTGTGGTGGGTAGGAAGGTTGTAAGCAGAATCTCAACAGCTGCAAGTACAGGAAGGAAGGCAAATACCAAATGTTCTAGGCGGGCGGGGTACAGCGCGTCCTCTTATCACATTGGGAGGCAGCCTTCTCTAGCTATTCCCCAGGAGCCACGCAGACTGCACGCATGCCATGCCTTGTGACTGAGCTCCGCATTTCACCCTCCTCAGTTCTTCTTGAACTCTTTACCCCATTCACTCTTTCCTCTTACACAATTTCCCCTGCTTTCTTTTTCTCTTTTGCCTCTGAATACAAGGTTGAGAGGGGTAAAGAAAGACAACTTCTGTATGTGTATAGTTTTGCTTTTGATTATAGCTTAAATAACTATAAAATTAGTGTATGTAAAACTCATCTTTATACAGCCTATTATTATATCTAATGTTTACAATTAAGAAATAGCTAGTGCCTTGAACATGGAATAAAAACTGGCGGAGCTTGGAGTCCTATTGTGAGATGCAGGTTTGGAAATTCAAAAACTATTGTTTATGTATGTACATCTATAGCCTTAATCTGGTTAGAACATTTGACTTAAAACTAACATGATTAATTTTAATATTCACATAAGTGATTTTTTTTTTTTCACTAGGAAACATGTTTAACAAAATGGCACAGTGGGTAAAACAGGACAATGAAACAGGGATTTATTATGAGACATGGACTGTCCAAGCCAGCCCAGAAAAAGGGGCAGAGACATGGTTTGAATCCTACGACTGTTCCAAATTTGTGTTAAGGACATATAAGAAGTTGGCGGAACTTGGAGCAGAGTTCAAGAAGATAGAAACCAACTACACAAGAATATTTCTTTACAGTGGAGAACCTACTTTTTTGGGAAATGAAACATCTGTTTTTGGGCCAACTGGAAATGAGACTCTTGCTTTAGCCATAAAAAGGTTTTATTACCCCTTCAAACCATATTTGTCAACTAAAGAATTTCTCTTGAGTCTTGTGAAAATTTTTGATGCAGTGGTTATACACAGACAGTTCTATTTGTTTTATAATTTTGAATATTGGTTTTTACCTATGAAATTTCCTTTTATTAAAATAACATATGAAGAAATCCCTTTACCTAACAGAAACAATACAATCTCTGGTTTATAAAATCTTTATTCTACTGATTTGTATCCTTCTACCACCAGCATATCAGTCTTTCATGGAGTTGTTTTACATTTGTGTACTTTTTAGGCCTTTCTTCCTTGGGGTAAAATGCACAGGGGCAGAATTGCTGCATAATAATATCTCAGGAATTTTTTTGGAAAGAAGCTGAAACTCTAATAGTGTTGGCCAAAGTGAGCACATTATGTGATCTTGATTTCAATCTCCCAACCCTTTATTAACATGGAGAA